ACACAAATATACCAAGAAACATGAAATCGATTCAAAAGTTGAGCCATGATGGCGATCGGAAGAAATAGGAAAAAAACAATATAAAGCCTACAAAAAGGTGCATGAAATGTAAATAAAAACCAATCACTTGACCATCCTAACAACAAATCAAATAATCAGGTTGTTAAATAATCGGTCTCAAATCCATAACCGTTATGCAAGAAAAAAGATCTTTAATTCATAGTAATGGTTTAACGAGACAAGTTAACTATAATCGATCTGGTTTATTATTTATTTAATGATATTAAATATTTATTATATATTATTAACTTTTGTATAATCAAAATTTGTCTTAAAATCTTGATACATATAGGAGCCACTAGGATACTCGCATGCTCCTATCCCCCTTTTATTTTTAAGAAATGTTTATTCCTAACAATTGATTAACCATATGCAACATTAAAGTCTTAGATACAAGGTCAAAAGTACCAGAGGTTTTAAGTTCAAATTCAACGAAAAATAAAAATTATTTTATGGCCATGAAGGTTCAAATGCGGTGACTCCGGGCTATCTGCAAAGCATGTGGTCGTCCTAGGATTAGTCGGCTCGCATAGCGGGTTGGATATCCAAGTTAATAAAAAAAAAACACTTTGTCATTTGTTAAGCATTGGATGCATTATGTTTTTTACAGTCGAGATTGTAATTTGTTATTTGAAGTTACCTTTGTTTGTTATTCTGCTCCAAAAAAACCAATATCAGAATTTTAAATAATTTTATTTATTCATATTCAATACTCCTCTACTTCTAAATGGGTGTTTGAGATTAACAACTTGTTGACTTATTCCGGTATGACACCGGTAATAAGCACTTTTGAGTGTTTGGATAAACAACTTATATCGGTGCCAAATCGGTAATAAAAAGTTTTTGAAGAAGTTAAACCCTTCTGACTTATAATAAGTTGATAAGTGATTTTGTAAAAAATATAAGTTATTTCAAATAAACAATCCCAAACACCACTAACCCAAAGCTTTTCAATAATAACATATATCTATTTAAGATACTAATAAATTAATCACATTTGTATAATATAATATAAAATTTAATTCACTTATTTTTTATTTATTTGATTAAAAAAAAACATAATCTTCTAAATACATCAGAATTAGGTACATTAAGTTATTTAAAACTCGTAAGTACTAGAGCATTGTTTGTCGGAAAAAAGACATTGTTTTCAAAATCTTCAAGTCTTTTATTGGCGGTGTCGTTAAATTTTGCCTTTCTTCTACATTAGCTTTATCATTATAAATTATCAGTGGCGGATCCAAAAAGTTAAGCGATCGAGAGCTCTAGGGTATACAAAATCGAACCAAAACGATTTTGGGTTAAACAATTCGAATCGTCTTGGTTAACAGAATAAGGTAACTTTCGGTTTAATTTTTTTTTACTATATTAGTTAATCGAATAGTAAACTATATTATTATTTTATATAATTTTCTTCTTAATGAATTGGTTTGAACATATCTAAAATTAACATTAGGTGAATTGATTTATTTTTAAAAGGGAAAAGAAAACATATAATATTTTTTTATAGAAATTCTGATAAAAAATAATATTTTGTAGTATTAATTTTTTACAAAATTATAAATAATATTTGTAATAGTAATATATTTATAATTATATAACATAACTAAAAGAAAATTAATATAAAAAAGAAAAAAACAACAAAAAGACAAAGATACAAAAAGAAAACAAAAAAAAAAGGCACAGGCTAATGGCACCCCATCTTATACCAATGGCACCCCTATACTTAGGTTATCATTTCATTTTTTATTATTTTATTATTTTTTCTGTCTTTTTGTTGTTGTTTTTTTATATTAATTTTTTTAATTATTTTATAATAAATAGATACTATTACAAATATTATTTTTTATTCTATAAAAATATTAATATTAAAAAAATATTGATTTTTATCATAAATTTTATAAAAAATATTGTACATTTTCTTTTCTTTTTTAATATTTTTTTTAAAACGTTACTTTTTCTTATTAGTTATTTTTAAGATATATATATATATATACTAGAAGCGTACTCGCGCAATGCAGCGAGATACATCGTGTGTTTAATATTTCATTTTATTATTTATCTCAGTCGATATTATAATATGGC